CTAGCAAATACCTTTACAATAGACATGAATCAAGCTGTTTTATTTTCAAAGAAGAGAAGCGACAAGTTGAGTCCGAACCTATAACAAATGTCTACGAGAAATCTGTATAGTCTAACATTTGTATTATGGGCGAGTATGACAGTGTCCTTATCGTAGTCAACTTTCTGTAGGTACTACGTTAACTTTAGCTAACGAAATAAGATTCGTATTGGTCTTACCTTTCTCTTACTTAGCCTGGGAAGAAATCTAGTTGGGACTTGAATATGGTCTTGCGGTTTCGCCTGTTTACGAAGGCTTTGTACTCCTTTTTCGTCCGTTCATATACACTAATGGAAATATGTTTGAGGTTGGAGTAGAAGCGATTCGTGTTTTCATTCGGATCAGTTGGTGTATCAACTTTGTAGCCTATTTCCTCTTTTATGTTGAGTAGAGTTAAAATTGGCTTTCTCTTAGCTATGTTAAATGAAATCTGGATTATGGTAGGGCGAGCGATAGACAATAAATGTTCTGCCATACATGCGGTCTCAGTCGTTGAATGTATACGATCTCTGAAAGTTACGTTCCCGTTGTAATGTGGTCAATAAGCTTTGACGCCTCCCGGGTGTTAACCCGTTCCGCCCCACTTCGCTCTGTTTCGAGCCCGTTGTAGGCTAGCTTAGCGGTAATACAAATTTTGTAGGCTTCGTGAGACTGTTGCCTTCGTTTTATGATCTTTATATTTATAGTCTTGCCCTAATCTCTATGCGCCGATAGACTCTATTGTAATGGATGGACTAGAGACTCTTCTTTCGTGGGCCGAGCATATAGGAGTGCTTCGAAACGTAACTGGCCTCGGGATACTCCCAGGCCGAGGTATCAGGACAATTGCTCAGCGTCGGGTGAAGGTATGAATACTATTATATCGTCCGTTCGTCTGATCTACTAGAACGAACACGTTATTCTCAACGGCCCTGCCGAAGCTATTCGCAGCCAACATACAGTACCCGAAAGCGTCTTCCAGAGTCTCTCGCAATATCTTTCCACGACCTCCTGGCCGCAGACTTAGCCTTCGACAAGTCGATCGATTTGGCACTCTTGAAGGCTGGGCTCCCTACGTTAGCTGAATTCGAGACTACTCTACCATTAACATGGCCCGAGGAGGCCCAGAAGCTGCTTCCCAAAGCAGCCAAGCCTCTACTGCAGATTAAAATACTCCCCGAATCTTGCCCTCACTCATTTCCTTTTTCGTGGGTGGGCCGGCACTGCTGCTGCTTAAACCTGTGCAGTGGGTGTGCAGCGGGTGTGTTGACTGTTGGCGCTGTGTGGGAGCCTTAATCTGCCACCCCAGTTGAACTTACCGCAAAACCAAAAATAGAACCAAGGCCTTGCAACCGACAGGTATAATATCAAAGTATTGCAATGATTTCCATGTATGACCATAGCTAGTAGAAAAACTCACAGTCGTATTTGCACATTTGTGGATCATTGCTAAGGTTATCCCCTTTTTTTCCCCTTCGTCTTCTAGAAAGTCATGGTGCTTGACAGACTTGCATGAAGCAAAAAAAAAAAAAAAAAATGCAACTGGCAAGGTTCGAACTTGCGCAACCTTCCGGTTATTAGTGCTTAAAACTAACGCGTTAGACCACTCCGCCACAGTTGCTCAATTAAAAATTTTACTTAATCAAAACTATGAATACTAGACTTCTATACTGGAGAATACTGATGATCCTCCTACCGGCTCTCATCTGTCTGTAATGTCAGTCACTTGCGAATTCGCTGTCGATTTTGACCGCTTTTTGCCAAGCAAAAAGCACGCCAAGAAGGGGCGCCGCTTTTTAACTTTCTAGAAGTATCCCTCTCCCCTCCTATTTCCATGCTTGTTGACTATCGTTTGTGCCTTCTTGCCTGCTACCTTAATTCCTCTCCTCGATCTGTTTCTGCTTGAAGAACTTCTGTTTCCTCCCTAGGCTTTTCAATAGTGCCTGACTCATTCTTCCTATACGAACAGTCATGCTGCTCTCAGACTGGAGCTTAGCCTTAGGGTTTGATAAAGTTACCTGGAAATCACTGGGCTTGAGATCTATGTGACTCTGACAATATCGGTGGCCTCGACTGGCGAGTTTAACCGGCGACCTCTACCGGCGACCTCGGCGACCTCAGCGGTGGTCGCTACTCCTGTGAGGCTCTATCTTCTGTTCTTATTGAACGGAGTAAGTACTCCAGATTCTTTACAGGCTTATGTTGGAATAGCCCTCGTGAGACGTGGCCCGACTATGATATTATGGTCCGTGATACCTGACAATTCTCCAACAGGCCTACGACTCTGGCGGGCTTGGGCTTTCTATCAGAAACCTGTGGTTCTTTCCTAAGGCTAGCTAAGCCGGTTCATTGGTAGTCTGCAGTGTCTTAAGCTACAAATAACCTTGTTTATCGATTAATAATAGCCTTAATAAGAGTGATAAGAGCTTTTGAAGGGTATAACTCATTATGACAATATCGTAAGATAGTATTTGATCATAACGATTGGGTCCTAGCCAGCACCTATAAAGGCTATATTGATAGCCTTGCTGTTTAGCTTTATTGATAGCTTTATGCTGTTTTCTGACTAACATTTCCAGTCGCCTTTGGTCATTCATTATTATATCTGCGAATGAGTAGTATACGAAAGGACATGGAGAGTCAAAGATCGAGATTGATATAGAGTTAGGTGGAGGCTTTTCAAATCGGAAGACGAACGAGAAGCATCAGCCATTTATATAATAAAAGGTTCTACAGTTTCAATAAAACATCATAGCATATATGCCAGCATACATACGCTAGCTATGGTGTCGATAGCTCATCCAAAATCACCTGGATCATCCAGGTCACCCACTGCGGCACCATTTGGGGCTCCGCTCACCCAAAGTGGCTCTCCTAGATTTCCAAAAGCAGCATGCCTGGGTGAGCTTTAAGCGAGCTTACTCTGTAAGTTTGTTATAATGATGTGCCATTTGCATTATCAATGCCACGATCCTACACCTAGATCGTACTCTGATGAAGGAGGTGGGGGATGAATGGAATTGATCGGAGTGAGACGGACGAGGATGACGGAGTGCAGAGTGATGCCTAACAGTAGGTAGCGGTGGCAGCTCTGATATTGGACCCAGGACATAAGCAACGACTATCGCCTGGCTCAAGTGTTTACAATATCATCGCCAAGTGCTTAGGTCTTTGCCTGACAACATCTGACTCTCCGATGTTCATTATAGATGTGAGGCGAGGACTGTGTCGAAGACATGTGCTTCTGTCCCGACTACCGTCAACTGCATCCTGCCTATCATACATTTCAGATTCTCGACACAGGGGATGCACAGTTAGAGCAGGGTGAAATACAGTAAATGGAGGCTGAGAGATGACATCCTTGAAAGTTGATTGTGTAGCAGTAGACTTTGACGGCTTCCAGGGGGGTTTAAAGACGTGAGATATAGCTTTTCACAGTTCAACAACGTGGTCCAGGCCATTAGGGTTATATTGCGCGATCGATGAACACCCAACAAACAAACAAATCCAGCGCACACCATTGCGTTGCGTCTCACAGTAAATCATCGAGCAATGGCTTATTCGATCTGCTCGACTTTGACGTGGACGCACCTTATCATGTTCATGAAGTGGGCGCATCGTACGCATGGTGAGTTTGCATTAAAGACGATAATTACCCCTTCGGGGCCAGAGTCCTTGCAACATGGTATGACCAAGCCGTCTGAGTGCCAGTATGATCCCGCATTATGGGGCCGTTCCTCATCTAATTACCACCTATAGAACATCTGTTCTTCTTCGATTCCCAACAAGGAGAAGCCCTTAGCATGTGAGATGAGACAGACTATCAAAGCAGCTGTTGGTTTCGTAGGAAACCCACTAGGACTTCATCAATTCCATCGCTAAAGAACGCAAGGGGAGGACAAGAAACACCACGGTCTATCCCCTTCAATCGAGCGATTCCATATTCCAGAACATGACGACACAAATGCAATTCCGCGCGCACTGAGCGCAGTACAAAACAGGAGTGGTAATACCAGGAGCCCGTTCATTAAGCCAAGTTCAGGGGAATGAGAATTCATTGAGAAAAGAAAGGAAAGAGAAATACAGCAGGCAGGAGAAGATCAAGTGGACGAAAGAGACCATCTGAAATGTCAACTGCGCGCCGCCTGACAATCGACGAGGGAGGCTGGGCTGGGGCAAAGTCTCTCCACAATACAATCCAATCGAACTTGATCAAAGGTCCAACCAATCTTTATATTGCTCAACTGATATTTCCTGTATATATTTTACGCATACAAAAGGAGTAAATTGTGGGTCAATTTATTAATCTTCATATCCATGGTTGCCCGTTACCAACCCGCAGCCTGCAGTCTCTCGTGCTCAGTGCCTCAGTGCATTGGCGAGAGCGAGATGGGAGGAGCAGTTGGCCGCGATGCCGCTTACACCATTTGGGGCAAAACCCACTGACCTTAAATCTTTAGGGTCACCTCTCCAGAGCCAGAGCGGAGCGTGGGGGAACCTTGGAAATGTCCGGACTTGGGTGCACGTGGTCAATGTAGGGCATCAGAAGCTAGGAGTTATTTTTGTTTCCCCTAGATTTTCAAGGCTCATTCGATTTTATTTTTTTCCCACTCTTAACCCATCTCTCTGGCCGAAGTTTCAGTACTGTCAGCCGTCATTTCTTTGCCCTTATTCACACTCAGTACTTTCTCCAGAGCTTCAGGGCTAGGGAGTGCACGCTTTGCCCACCTTTGTGCTAGCGCAAGGCATCTTTCGTCTTAGCGCGCGCACGGACCATGACACCTCAGCACTCTGGGAGCAACAGCTTCAGCCTCAGCCTCAGCCTCAGCCTCAAAATAGAGACAGTCATGTCGCTGCTGGAGGCTGCTGATTGCCTTTTGCTTGTGCCCCCTGCTTTTGATCCTTCTCCCCGTTGTCATCGCCATCGCAATCTTCATTAGAATCATCAGAGCTTCAACAAAATCAGAGCATCACTGCCTACTATGCATCGCGATCACCATCAGCAGCACAATGAGCGAGACGCATGCCACTCTGGCAGCAGCCCCGCCACCAGCGGCAGCAGCACTGGTGCTGTTTCGACAGTCCTTGGCAACAACAGCGAAGGCGACCACTTTGTGAATGATGCCGCCGCCGATGGCAACCAGGCCAGTAACAACAGCGTGGGTGCTGCCATGCCACCGTCTACCACTACTGCGCACTCGTCCTCGTCCTCCTCCTCTTACTACCCTGGCCTCAATCTCAAGCTCCTTGCGCGCACTTCCGCTGCGGTCACCGGCACAAACATCAGCACTACTAGCCGCTCCATCGAGAACACCCCCGACATCAAAGTTCTGGCCAGCATCGGACACCAGCATCCCGTCTTGCGCCACTAGGAGGGCACAGATGGCGGCGGCAGTGGTGGTGATGGTGGACTGGAACACCGGCTTCTGGTCGAGGTGCGCGCTCGCCTTGGTGACCGCTGGAACTTCGCCGGCCCCTTCCGCATCGGCTGGTCCAATGCTGCCGACCCCCATGAGCGGCTGCTGACCTACCTTGTCGTCGTTCGCAAAGATGCTATTTTTGACGATGTCTGCGTCGCTACTGAACTGGCAGCCCGCTGCCAGGAGATCTTTGTGAGGTAAGTACTTGTTGGACTACTTGCTCTCGGTGTTCCTTTCCTTGCCTTCCCTCCTCGCCGTTTCCCTCCTCCCCTTCTCCGACGGTATACTTCATCTTGTCCAATTGGACTCACCGACACAACTGGATCGAATCCCTCAACTGGAATGGAACTAATATGTCTGTTTTGTAGTCGTGGCCTCGTCGACATCGCAGTCGAGATTGCCCAGTTTGTAGCGACTCCTTGCAGCGACAATGACGATCCTTCTCACCCCTCCGGAACTGAAGCCGCCGCCGGGTGGCACCCCAAGAACGATTTCGAACATGACTTTGGACCCAACCCCGCCATCGGGCGTAGTATTGGCACTACTAGAGCGACAGACAGCACGGCTACATTATGCGGCTATATCAAGATCGATGGTCATAAGTACGGTTTGACGTGTCACCACGGCTTCTCATCAGATAGTAGGTTCACGCACACTTCCATCCCTCCTTCATCATGCAAGCACCTGGTATTAAAGACTGCTTCCTTCGTAGGAACACCCGAAGACCCCATCTCGATGTCGGCCGAACCACTTGTCGTGGAGAGCCCATCTCCAGCTGACCAGGCAAGATGGAGACAATGGCTGGATGAGCAGCTCATCGAAGCGAGGCGCTACAACACGGCTCTGCAGGACAAGAAGGAACTTGCGGAACAATACAGTGGCTTACCGTTTACGAAGCAGCAAGAGGAAAACATGGCCATGTGGCAAAGGCGCATCCACACGCTGAAAGACAAACTCCAAACTCTGGATGATGCACACGATACAGCATCTAGCCACCGGCGACGCCTGGGTACGGTTCTGCTGTCTTCTGGACTTCGCGATAAGACTAAAGAGGGTTTTGTTCCTGATTGGGCGCTCCTCACGCTCAATCCGGGTCGATTTACAGACCTGGAAGGAGTTGACAATGTGAGTTCATCAAATTAATAACCACTCCACTCACCCGTTGCCATGACCAGTTCCATCTCTATCCTTTCCTCCATTTGCTGATAGTTGCCCTATCTGCATTCATTCTGACAAATCTGCCCCCAATCATCATAGTTGTACATTTTGCCTGACCCAGCTAATTCCTGTGAATCAAACAGGTCTTCCCCGTCTTCGCTCGCAAGGACTACATCACACCCCCCAGCATCGACCGGAGCAATGTCGACTGCACATCCCACTCAACCTCCAAGCTCAAGGAAGTGCTCGGCCAGCGTCCTGTCAATGTCTACAAGATCGGCCGCACAACGGGCACGACAGCAGGACGGCTGCACGAACTGCGCGTCGTGGCGGTCACATACCACGGCGGGGTGGCGGTCGAGACCAAGGCGTGGGCGGTGACGGACGCGCCAGACAAGAGCAGCGGCTTCTCGGGGCGTGGGGACTCAGGCGCGGCGGTCGTGGATGATGACGGCGTGGCAGTCGGCATGCTGACGGCAGCCGGCGGCCAGCTGGGCGTGCCGTCGTGCCTCACCTTCGTGCTGCCTATGGAGGAGATGCTTGAGCACGTCGGCCGCCGGGTTGCAGACCTTTGCGGGCATAGAACTGCTGGACAAGGTGCAGAGGCTGGTGCTGATGCTCGTACTAATGTTACGGGTAAGGTTGAGTGGCTCTAGATGTTGATGTCGGGTGATATATGGCTGTGAATTGAGGAATTGATTGGTTGTCTATGATCATGGAGGCAGACGTTGACGACAGAGGGAAGGTTAGCTTCTGAGGGATGGTGGATGGAATTTGTACAATTAGGATACCACAGGCTTGCGAAATCTGATACGACTATCGAACAACAGATGGTATCTCTGAAGGCCGGACTTCGGATCCGGCCGAGTGGTCGGACATGGCGAAATGGCGCTGTGCTGTGCTGTTCCTTGCGTCCTACACCATTGTTATATAGCCTACCTAGGTGTAGTCTAGATTTGGCTTGACTAATGCTTGTGCTTGTTGATATACTACTTCATGATATTCGGAAGAAAGGAAGGAGTGATATAACAGAAGGCCATGTGACTTTTCGTTTGTGCTTGTCGTGAACAAGATTAGACGAAGACCTACCTGCCTTCCATCTATCGAGGAAGCAGTGGCAACCTCCTCCAAGTATACCTATATGTAAGCCAGGCCATTCCAACCAGCTCCTATGAGATTTATTATTATTATTGCCAAAGTTATACTTAGATATACGTCCTCCTTGTGTTGCTCGTATGCTTGACAGTCACTATGTCGGCCTGGCTGAGGAGAGAAGGGACACCAGATGGTCTATCGCGCAAGCCACCAAGAGTCTTTGCCCACCTGTAATCAATTTTAGCAGGCCCGATCACAACACGGAGCCATGGTACTGCGCTGCGCCGCACCTTTGCTCAGATTCACGCACAACCTCCGATGTCAGCTTAGCCAGCTCTGGCAAGAAGAGCGGCAGCATCACAGATAAGGATGGGCAGGAGGCTATGAGGCCGACTAAGGCTACGAGTGCAACTGGGACTACGCATAATACCACCACGCCTTCAGTCGGCAACCCGATCCTCCCCGCAGCCAACTCCGAGCTGGCCACCGTCGGTATAGGCATCCAGGCCTTGTTCAATGTCTGGCGCACCGGCGCCGACTTCGATACCCAATCGGCCTGCAAGTTCTTGAATCAGCCGCGGCCGATGAACAGCAAGCCCTCCCGCGAGGCCATCGAGGACCGGCCAGGTGCGGCCCGCATCGCCGCCGACCACCTCGCCAGCCTCAACCAAAGACAAGGGCCCATTGACACCATGTCCAAGCGGATGGCCAACTAGCGGCTGGCCCTCCTAGATCTGCGCGATCCGGTCCTCCTGGTCCTCGGCCTTGGATTTCTCGGTGGCTTGGCGGATGCTTTTCGTCAAGCACTAGGTCCCCAGATGTGAAAAACAAGCAGCTAAGGAGAGCCGGATGGCAGTCGACCAGCAGGGGCAGCATCAGTCAAGCGACCGGTTTAGCCGGCCGAAGCGCCAGGTTTGCTAGCAAGCCGTTGTCATCGGAGTTGGACGTGGACTCGGACTCGCACTAGGATAGTAGAGGCGAATCGCTATCAGCCCCGAGTCTGAGTGCCGAGGAGCTGGCTGGTGCCCGTGAGTTTCTGCTCGCCGTAGGTAGCACGAATAAGATGCTCTGCAGCTAGGGAAAGCACATGCAGAGGGAGCCACTCGCCTCAGTGACAGGATGTTATATGAGGCCGGCAACCCCCAGTACACACTCCGGGAAGTGCGTATCTTATCAGCTCTAGTAATGATACATGCCTCAGGCCACAGCCATGGGTATCACCATTGTGTCTGCTCTGATGATCATGAGGGCTAAAGTAAAGGTCATGAGAAGGAGAGGGACATCGTCTCCGAGGGCAATGATGGCGATGAGGCGCATGTGTCGATCGAGATGTGCTGGACAGGGAACGATGCGGACGATGCCGACATAATTAATCGTTGATTGATTATCGATTACTCGATCTTCTCGATATCTGGGAGGGTACCTTTGATAAGGCTTACTTTAAACCGGACTTTTAATGCTGCTATTCTCTGCTGACTTTGCTGGGGATGGTCAGAGATGATAATGCGTCAATAGGCATGAGATGACAGCAGTTGTCAACAACTATATATATGATTGTAGTAACTATGCTTACTAGATTTCCTTATGTACTTGCACCATCAACTAAGAAACCTCACTCAGTATTTCCTGCCACTACTTCTTATATACCGTATCTACCCGGTCCCTAAGTGCTCGTAGCCCCTTAAGTAGCTGATATGTCCCAACGATCGAAGGGCTTGGAAAGGAGTGGTCGAGAAGGAGAGGTATTTGATGGCAATCTTGGGGAGCGTCGAGGCGGGCGCGGTGTCGCTTGGAGGTCATCGGGGGTTTGACTGTTCTTTTTTCGAGTAATGTCGTTGACATTGCCTAGGTCCATCTCGTTATTCCCCGGCCCACGGCTCTCTTTCTTGCTCATGTTGTCGGCTCTCGTGTCCTCTGATCCTGGTTGGGCTGATCTCTTTGCCGAGGATGGGAAATGAGCTGGTGTTATAAGCGCTTTGTTCGCCCGTCCTAGAGCTGCAGGTCCAGGTATAGTGAGTAGTTGATGGAACTTTCAACGGCAAGCCTCAAGGAAGCCAAAGAGGATCCTTGTTCCTGGCTCCCTTGCCTGATTTCATTATCGTGATGACTCTAGATCCGCATTACATATTACTCACGTCCCAATGTTGCCACCACTTACTTCTAGGTCAATGACGGGCAGGCATAAATCTAACATTCAACACCTTGGCCTCACTGGAGCATCAAGATGCATGGCTAGACCGGCCCCGTTCCCAACCTTGGCCTTATTCAAGCCAACATATCTAAGTATTATATCAAGCCCCAAGGGCAAACGCAGCACAGGGACTTGGAGAAGTGGTACTGTACCATAGTGTACTACGCAGTAGTTCTCCGCTCCACCGGTGTAAGGTTGGGAAATGATGCCAGGGGTAATCTTTTGTCTTGTCTCAGCGATGAAGGCGATCGACTTACAGGGCTGGAGGATCAACATAAGTGAGATTACCTCAAGTTTCTCCGAAGAAACAATCAAGTTCACAAGGAGAGAGATGGCCAAAGTATTAGGGAAGAGGAACTGACGGCGTTGATGTTAGATAGCCAGCAGCAATTTCGTCCGACCTGCAGCTCTAGCACAAACAGGTCGTTGCGATCAATTGTGATCATTTGTGATCATTTGTCCCGTCTGTCCGACAGCCACCTGTGCCATTCTCACAAATCTATATGCATTGCACGCACCGATAACACTGTACCTTGGATGTTGAAGCTTCCTCCTTGATAGGTGCAGTGGCAAAAGTGCGACTAGAACGAATAGCACCCGTACCCCTGTCGACTGCGCTGCCAGGCTGGCAGCTCCTATGACTTTAAGAAGACAGTCTCGGCTTGCTACGCCTGAATAAGTCACCAATCTCATGACTTCTAGGATCGACCAACAAAGTGCAGGTGACGCCTCGAGCCATTGCTTTTGGGATGGCATGGAGGGGATGCAAGGCAGGCACTGGGGTAGTCCCTTGTCAGCATGGACCCTTTTGATCAAGTCAAGGGTATCAGGTGTAAGTTAGTTTGGCAATTGGTCAGAGAGAAACTATTGTGAAGTTAATGCTATGCCAAGTCAATATCATGTTGTGTCGTGCAACAAATATAACACCATCATGACTATCATAACTACCGTCATTTCAAACGTGTAAGATGGGCAGCTCTTGCAAATGTCCTCAACGTTTTTCGAATGCTTATCTGCCTGTCCCTCAAGCTAGCCTGTAAACTCTCGCCCCTCAATCATAGCTCCTTCGAATCTGTCGTCTTCAGAAGGAAGAAATCTCCTCAGCGAATTTTGAAGAGCGCTTCGCAGCTGCAGATTCTCCTCGGCCAGGATCCTGACCCGGACCTTCATAGCTTCGGATTGGGACTCGCGAAAAGGTATTTCCTCGCCACAGCTGCCCGCTTTGGCACAGACACTGGCACTGAGGAGAATCTACGACGGATCACCCCACGATGCCGTACATCAATATATAATTTATTAAACACCGAGCACGAAGTAGTACCCCCGGGGCCCAGCTCGAGCACCTTATGCTATCCCCAAAGTGTTTATCACTTAATGCCTAGCTCTCTACTAGACCTAAGACTGAGACCAGGCTCTCTACTCAACCCTCATTGCTGACACTAAATGCAGAAGTCGTATAATGGTATAGTAACCCTGTCACTGACCAGATAGCGTCATAACGATCTCTGTGGTCCCTGGTGAGCACATGAAGGGGCTGTCCCTGTATGGACTACTTCCCGTCCTTTTCGGGAGACCTTGCAAGGCACGTCAGTCCATAGCCTACTACGGTCGATGCAAAAGAGCATTCCAAAGCTCAAACTCGGCGGAAGACTTCCTCTTCATTTTAAGCCAGCCCATCCGCTCTGATCAGAGCACGGGATTCGCCATGTGATATTCAATGCCAACAGTGATGAAGACGACAGCGGTGGCAAACATAAATCAGCGAGCTCAACACTACCACAACTTGTCGCAGCATTCTCAAGAATGGATATTTAGAAGGGATATGAATACTGAAAAGAAGACTAATGACGACAGCATACCTCGATAATACCAAGTGGATGGACCACTGCACCTACCGACGCAATTTACAGCTTCAACCTTTGCGGTGATTATGACCAACCTAGCAAGGAGTAGAATAATGATGAGAAAGCCTGGAGTGAAGCACTTAGGGCTTTCATGACCATACCCGTGTTCTTGACACACAGTATGAGAAGACATTGCGGGAAGGCTACACGCCGAAGCGCGGGACCTCCTCAAATCGCGCCCTTCATTTTCTAATTAGAGTCGAAGACAAGTCTCATTATGATAAGACTGGGTGATCAGGGATCACAGTGTAAGGTGAGAGACAGGAGGGGGTCACCAATCAATTACCTCCTAAGCTAGGCTTAAGATGCCAACTACGACTATAGCTTACCCTTCCTACGCTTATAGTAGGAATGATAGCTTTACTATATATATAGAGGTAGCTTTGGGCCCTATCTAAGTGTTCTCTAAACGCTCCTTAGCCTAGCTCCTTATAAGCTCTATGGTCCCTTCAGAAGGTTTGGTAGCTTATAACCCTTTCGGACAATAGGGTTCTCAGCAGGGGCCCGGACCATACTCGTTCGCTTTCGACTAAGAATCTCTCCCGGTCGGATAAGTATATCTTAATCTAGGCTGACTGACGGAGGTTCTAGTTATAGAGCGATTGGTTCTCATAGTAGGATTCCCGAATATAGAGTATCTATTGTTTAAGGTGCTCTCTTAGATGACTGATTAACTTGTCGGTCGAGTCGATAAGAATAGATAATTATAATCGGATAGACATCTCGCCGACGCCTAAGGGGGAGCTACATAATGTCACGATAGTAGGTTACAGACAGTAGACGAAGGCGAGCAGATCAAAATCAGATTCAATTGACTCGCTATAGTCTTCTAGAGGCTGGTAAGCAGGAGGTTGTAGACGAAGATATAGCTGACCAAGCTACGATAGAGATCGTAGTCGCGTTCTACGGACATAGTCTAAGGGTGGTATAGGCTGGCAGAGTAATAGGTCAAGGGCTGGGGTCCACTCTGCCTGGCCGAGTCTATAACAGTTTTATTAAAATACAAACTTTTACTCTAAAGCTTTAGACTAAGTCTTATCGTTTTAAATATATGTAATATTTGACTTTCTTGATAGTTGATAGCCTATCCTGTTTATATTACAGTCAATCAATCAATCAATTCAGGCTTATGGAAGACTACATCCATATATCTAGCCTGTAGAATCTATACTCGGCAATTCACGAGCAAAATTTTATCTCCTATTTCATTCCATTCCATTCTGGTACGACTGCAAGGCTTCGATGATGGCCATGTCCTTTATCTGTGCAGCCAGCCAGCCAGCCAGTCAGTCTGCTTGGCCCTCCTCAATTGCCACTCCTCCATGCTTCTCTCCCTCCCTCTGACCTAGGCTCAGGCTCAGGCTCAGGCTCCGATCTACGACAGCGGCACCTCAACTGGTATGGACTCTATCTCGCAGTGTGCTCATCAGGATCCTTGGAGTCCTCCACATCGTTGAGGCCCCCCACATTGCCTTCTCGATCTCGCAACGCTGCGGGCGCATGGGCGGCGGCGGCGGCGGCTAATGATTCAGCGAGAGCCGTCTCCAGATGAGCCTTCTGCTGGTCCCTGAGCGCCTGCATAGCCGCCGCGTCGGCAAAGATGCCGGTGATCTCGCTGCCCTCGATGACGACGGGGATGTCGGCTGCCGCGGGCGGCATGTCGGCGCTCAAGTCGCCGAGGCGGAGGCGCAGATGCCTGCCGGGCTCAACGGGTACGACCGCGTGCTCCCGGGGGAAGAAAGTCCCTTTGGCCACCTCTCTGCGGAACAGGGAGGCCGTCGCCGTCTCGGGGGGCTCGCGCGTGGACAGACGGGCGGAGGGCGTGCGGTACGCGATGTCGAGAACAATGCCCGCGCGGGCGTGGCCGACGGGGACGGTGTACGCGATGAATTCTGAGAAGGGGCAGACCTTGTTAGTGACGCAAAAGAGTAGATAGATAGATAGCATGGATGGATGGATGGATGCGCGAAGGGGCCATCCTCACCTTTGATCTTGTCACGGCCCTTGTTGTTGCTGTAGTCGACCTCGATGCTGAGGCTCTGGATATTCGGGTTGCCCTTGACGCCGATCATGCCGTCGGAGAACTTGGTCGTGTAGCCGTCGCCGCCGCCCTCATCGTTGGGGGCCTGGCACAGGTAGGACGCCGCGTTCGGAGACTTTCGCACCTCAAGCTTCTGAATGACGTCCTCGGCGGCGGCGGAGTGGCCGCTTGCAGCGCGTGCCGCTGAATCGAGGATGAGGGCAGCAAGGGCGTGGCCGACTTCATCGTGAAGAATGGTCATGATGCGAATCTCGAAGCAACTTTGGCGAGGGCTGTAGGAATAGATGAGCTCGTCCAAGACATATGCGCCAAGCTCGGTGTCATGCGGCTGGCTGCTGCTACTGACTGAAGGAGCTGCTGGAGGAGTCGCTTGGGCGTTTACACTGTTGTTGTTCGGATCGCTTGGACGGATCAGGCAGTTGGCCTGCGACTGATCCTTCCACAGATAAAGTGAGAGCAAGGTGAACTCTTGGGGAGTAAGCGGGACAGAAACGATATTGCCAAGCTCTTGGGACGGTTGCAGCTTGCCGCTGCGGTGCTGTTCAATCAGTCTGATGACCTGCTGGACATTGAAGGGTAGGTGGCGGTCAGTCGGGTTCTGTGCCGAGGCTGAGGTCGCGGTCGAGGTCGGGGTCGGGGTCGAGGTCGGCAGAAGATTACCACCGCCTGGGGCTAGATTCGGCTGGTCAATGATGGAAGACATCTTGGCTGCCGGTTCGGGTCTGTTCGAGTTTTGGTTGCTTTGTGTGCGTCGTGCCGAGGTGTCGTTGTTGTCGTCGTCGTTGTCGTAGTCGTTGAGTGTCCCGAGTCGTGAAGGTTGGCTGCGGCGGGAGCTGCTATCTATGCACGTCCAGCGTCGTCATTGTCCCGTGACAGGGCCTGTGACTCGACCTCGGCCTTGACCTCGACCTCGACCTCGACCTCACCTTGAGACCTTGTCCTTGACCTCGTCAAACTCTTAGTTCAAAATTATATCCACTGGCTCATAACATAATAGAAGCTAGCCCTTCAGAGTACTTTACTAGACTCAGTTGGGTACAGGTAGACTCTTTGTCTGCTCCAGGCCTTCAGACAAGGTATAGTGTTTCCTGTTTCGCGATAGTGATCTCTTTATCTCTTGTTTTGTGTCTTCCGAGGCAGGAAGGCTCCTACGGCGCTCGCTCGCTCGCAAGACTGGGTGATGGCCCGTAGGCAACCTGGAAGGCAAGGCACCGTCTGTGTGTATGATAGGACAGAACAGGAGCTATGAAGCAGCCATGCCTCGTTATTGACCGGGTCTCTATACTATTATAATCACTCCCGCTGGGCCTCATTGCTGATATGGTGGCCAAGTTTGACTGGGAGAAGGGGGGGGTTAAAAAACCCTTGTTTTGCCAGGTTGCGGTTGCTCTTGTCATATATCTCTGTTGCGAATCAGCATCATCCATTCCTTCACAGAACAAAAAGGAGAGAACGTAGAAAACGGCCATCTACTTACTAGATATGGCCATCTTGTGACTACTTTATCATCGGCCGATCACCGGCCCTTTCCTTCCTCTTCTTTTGAATCTAAAAGTCGCAAGCGACCGTCACCCACTTCAATTGTCTCGAATACATTACGAAGGAGGAGCTCTTGCATGAGGCATAGGTCCGGACTGGCTTTACTACACCGTCTCTAGCCTTTCAGGATAGACAGCGCTGGCTTCTATGTAGATTGGAAAGTCGGAGACGTGATGCGATCTTGATACCCGCCGATGTGGGAGAGTGATGCGGCAACTTTTCAACAGCTTTCGACACGTCGCGTGACTGTTCTCGCCTCATCTGTTATGAGAGACTTGACGTTCTGACTAATGGAATAATGGAAGGGAAATACCGTCGATTACGTAGAGAGAAGTGTGGCATTTGAGGATTCGACATTGAAGGTGTTATATGAGACTGACATGGGTTTCCGGCACATGGGTACGTCCTTGTGGAGCCCAAGACTTAAAGTATGATGCGGCGCCACCCAGCACTTAGCACGTCTACAGTGCGACGAAATCCATTGATGAGGTTATATGGTGCAGCACTCTAGGTAGGTACTGTAGGTGTAGTAGTTTTAGAATCTATATATATCTAGCTTAGAGATAATGGATTATATACTTTCTTTTATTCGTTACTTTATACGTGTGCGGCGTGCAAGCTAGCCGCTACTCCCTTAGGAATACGCTCCAGGCTATTGATGCGGTCGAACAGCCATACAACGTCGTCAGGGGTTTCACTTGTACTCGTAAGAGCCTGTGAGTCATCTTCCATCGAGCCACATAGACGAAAGAATTTTTCCTTGTCCAAGTATATGTTTGACGAGGATTGGATCATCAATCCTACACAGCGACCTTCGCAATCTCGTGCTTGACCCATTCTGTCAAGCCCCCCTTGGCGATGATCTCTTGTAGATTCTCTGGGAATTGGCCAACCCTCCCCTCCCAACATTCTCCATCCTTACCTTCTTGTACTTTGACGGTGCTTCGAGAGTTATCCCACGTTAGGGTCCAGCCTGTTCGCCGTGTTCGCACCTTCTCCGACAAGGGAAAAGCAGTACGAAGACGCTCTACAAGTCGCGGTACTTCCAGCCCAAAAGCGCATTGTTGATGCTATCGCGAACAAAGATACTAGACAAGCTCCCAGCCACGACAAGCGGGATCTGCCTGGCTAGAATTGCTGTCGCAGCTTGCTCTCGTGAGGATCCCTAGAATAGATTAGAGCCCCTTGTACGATAAAGTTGGCCCAGGCAAAAACTTACACAGCCAAAGTTATATCCCGAGACAAGGATATCATGAGGCTTCGCGACCGAGCCAAATTCGGGGTCATAGTTCGACATGCAGGCCTCCGCCATGCCCTCTTTCGTGACATGATCCTGATATGTCCATTTTGCTGCATATATATTGTCGGTCTGGAGAACATCCATGTCAGAATAAAAGGCCACATGGAGATAATTCCGACGGTGGGGGTCTCACATCAAGGTTGTCGCCACCTCAGGACTGGCAAGGTACGCTTGAGCAACTAGTAACACAATCGGTCAATCTCCTAGCAACCATCTTCACGCACAGGGAGAGAACTGACGTCTTGAGCCCATCCTGCCCTTGACGTTGCGGTTTGAGGCCGAGATTCCGACATCGCCATCCTCCAACAAGCCTTGCCCGAGCCCGATGCAAGGACCGCAGGCAGCTTGCGAGCAATCGCCTCAGCATCAAGTAATGTTTGCCAGCTCCCTTCCTTCTCGGCGATCTTCTGCTTATTGGTTGAAGCTGCTGCGATATAGAGCTGGACATGGGGCGCGATTTTAGGGATCTTCCCACTGCCACTGGCCTTGGCAGCATCCCGAAAGACTTTGGCTACAGCCCTTAGGTCAGAGCTCCTTGAGTTGGTACAGCTTACAATGTAAGCCTTGTCAATTTTGATGTTTTTGGGAGCAACCTCGCTGAGTGGGGTTGATATCTTCACAGAGTTAGGTCCTGTTATCTCAGGCGAGAGGGAAGAGAGGTTTCTATAACATGGTCAGTCAAGAACTAGCTAGCAGGACACAGAAAGGACTTAAAGGTAGAGTTTCTTGGCGTAATGAGCTCCAGGGTCAGCGTGGATGTACGTAGGGTCGCTGTAGAGTTGATCGATCTTGTCGTGTGTGATCCTCTCGCGAGTCGTGCGGTCGTCGTTTTATTGCTGCCTCTTAAGCTTTTTTTCGTAGCCAGCGCTCGAGTCCCATCAACTGGAAACTACCACACATATAAGGATTGGACGGAGATGGAATAGATAATATTTGTGTATTAGCATACCATTGCAGAAGTTGCAGACCACTCCGTGGCCATGTTGCTGATAGTAAGTCGATCGTCGATGGAGAGGCTAGACATGGTCTCCTCCGAGCCAACAAACTCCACACCATGTTTCAGCACGTCCGTAGGGAAGACGGAACACAGAGCTAGAATGACGTCCTTTCCGGTCACCCCGGGCGGCAATGTTCATGTGAGCGTGACCAGTGCCACCGGAGGAACTTGGAATCAGCTTTTGCCAGTTGCCCAAATGGCAGCTCCATCAATTCTTACCACCGCGACCCCCAGGGACCCCAATGCTCCGTACATGCAACTATGACTATCCGAGCCCATACATAGGGTACCTGGCCAGACGAAGAGTTCTTCAATCTGAGGAGGTTCGCCAGTCGAAGACTGAGTCCATGTAGGTTCTTACCATGACTTGGTGGCCGATCGAATAGCCTGCGGGGGAAAACGCTATACCGTGTTTCTTGGCGAATGCCTCGATCAACTCGTAATTTACGGAGAATGGCTTCGCTTTTCAACTGAACTTGATGGTCAATCGCGAAGACCGGCTGCGTCGGGTCTGCGATTCGCGTGGCGTTCATCGACCTGTTTGGTCAATCATGCATTCCAACTCGTGAAAAGTGTGCAAGATCAACGGGCTCCGGGGTCCCTGACATAAACTTCTGAGCGATCGGCCATGTGTTTCGTGACTGAGAGACCTATGTGGTCGTATCTGAACATAGTCGCCGCTACGAACAAGCTTGCCTTTCGGCAGACCAACGGGGTGGCGTTGGACGATCTTCTCCGTGAGAGTTTGCGGTGTCCTGATTTCGTAAGGGCGGTCGCTAAAGCTGGGGCCTCTGTTTACGTTGTTCGACGAAACTCTTGCTCGACCAACAGTTGTAGTGGCCAATGAACGATAAGGGGCGTGCTGATGGGGTTGCAAGGGGATGACATGTTGAATGTAAAGGCATCGACTAGACGGGCAGCCAGATGCGCGGTTGAGCGAGCGAGCCCAGGGGCAGCTCCGATCTGAGGGTGTCAAGTTCATCAGAAAGGGCGGTTTTAGGTCTACCATCCGATGGAGGGGGCCCCGCTAAGTAAGCTCCCCAAGCCCAGACAGGGGTCTACTCAGTATATATATATAGGTGTGCAAGCACCCAAATCTCTCTTGTATGATCTATATAGTCCAAGGAACTTTCCATTACCGATTTAAATGCTCGTACGCGCTCTACAGAATGGGAAAGCGCTTTGCAGCCATGCTTAAGCAGAGGGCAAGAGCGGCGCTTAGAAGACCGATGGGATCAGCACCCATGACAACAACAGAGCCACCAGGCTTGCGCCTAAGATGACTTCTGCTCATCTAGCAATACTAACACCTGCGATCTCACGCGCCGGAATCTCTCGTTGTACTTTAGCTAAGACAACACTACGAAAACTAAATCATACCATTTCATTCTGACCTTTGCGTTGAGCACCTTCATGCTACGGTCTACCAACGACCTCACTGTCCGAAAGCTTTATCAAGGCGCTATTAGCGTAGTCGACATTATCATCCTTGCGGCTACAGCCGTGGATTACTCGAACCAGGAACGGCTCAGTCCGCTTACCTAGAGGCCGGAGGACTGGTTCTCTGTAGTGGTTACGGTGGCGTGCGCGGACCTCCGGATTGGCTTCGTGTTGGGCATCGGCCTTAACAAGAAGCGAAAGACGAACCCAGTGGAGAAATGAATGCGACCGCACGCATTTACGTGTAGATCTCAATCTCAAAGGGTTTACAACAGCTCGTGGGAATAACCGTCGGTAGCGAAATCAAAGCTTGAACGCATAGCTTAATGAGACTGTGAAGATATCGAGCAGCGCTGCGGAAGACGTGTGGGGGAACAGACGCTACGTTCTATGTTGCAATATCATCAAGGCTAGAGCGAGAACCTTGACTTGTTTTGCTCGAGTTGGTCTTTTTGTTTATGGCTGTTCAATTCCTTTTCAGTACTCCACGGATTATCGGTCCGGGCATCCGTAAGGCTACATCTAGCAGACACAGCCATGCATATTGCATCTTCGATGGTTTCGTGCCAGGAATTAGGCGTCAGGTCATACTTCATCACGTAGATATGTTTTCAAAAGCAAAGTCGCTGTTTCTAGGCCAGTGGTACAAACATCATTACCAACAGCGTCTCCTCGAAGCAGGTGTAGTCAGGCGTTGGTGAACGTTCAACTTCAGCAACCAATAACCCTAATTACCTCAATACTCTAGAGCTTATATCAGCAAGTACATGAAACCATTTGATAACTAGATGCCCTCGAACAGTGCCCTCACCCTACGGTCTCAATAACAGTAGTGAACTCAAGCAGATCCTTGTTTGCCATAGAACCCTGAACTCCTTCCCGGTCGGTACTGGAGCTGATATTCTTCCATGACTCAATCAGCTTGAGCTGCTCCTCGCATCTCTGTTTTGCAGAGCCTAATCCGTCCGAGCCAAGCGCTACTCGTACCGCCCACGGCTTTCCAACCACGGCACCTTCCCGCTTCACCACGTCCACGATCGTAGCTGCCGCCTTAGCCACATCCCCAGGCATATGCACCGAGGGATTGGCTGCGAACTTACTAACGAGAGAACCGAAGAGTCCTTTGTATACGTCGATAGTAGGGCCATTAGTCCCAAATCCAGCTTGGGACGAGTCCCGCGGCTGGCCGAGGTTTGTAGGAAAGCCCCCACACT